AGCAGCTGCGGCTCTGAGGGGTTTGCTGCTGCCCACGCCGCTTAGCAGCCTGCACCCCCTTCCTAAAATCTTCCTCACTGAGGGCGTGTCCTGTGCCTTCCTTTATGCGGAGCAGGGCATCCCTTTCCTGCTCACCCGCGGCGGCGGCTCTGCCCCCAAACCTCTCCTCAGCCCCATTTCACCCCATTTGACTTAGGCTGGGCGCGGCTGGCATCCAGTCAGCTCAGCAGGAGAAACGACTGGTTCTCTCTAGCGATTTGCTTTGCTTGTGGTAGCTTTCTCCAGGGCACGTTCAGAGGCCCCAAGTAGGAGACCAGGCATAGAGCAGGAAACGTTAGGTTAAGCGATGCGGGATTGCTTCCTTCAGCATGTCAGACTCTCTACCATCTGCAAGCCCGGCCCCTCAAAATATTTGTGGGCTCCTTTGTAGTGGTTATCGGCCCGTTCTGAGTGCAAGCCTGGTGTGGCAGTGCTATATACCCGTGTTGAATCTCAGATATTTTTCATTTTGACCACACACCTCTGCATGACTGTAAGTACTGCCTTACATAGCTTCATCAACCCCCAGTTTTTTTTCTCATTGAGCCATATACTCATGTGAGTTTACCGGGGTCCCCAGTGGGTAGAAGTTACGTAACAATTAGGGGAAACTCCCCACAGATTTATCTTCTTCCTCATTCAGCCATTCTATAGCTATGTCTCCAGGCTCACCCTGTTTCACTAGTCATCATATATGGTCCTGGTCTCAGCTCAGTAAAGTTCCACAGTTAGCAAGATACCTGATCAGTTCTGTCAAATCCTACCCCCACCACAGATATTGTTATTTGAGCTAGCCTCTTGTAAATACCATTTCCCAGAAGCAAGTACTTATCACTTGGGAACCTGAAGTCACCAGCCTTTCTCCCTCTGATTCCATGTACATGTTAGTCTAGTACCTGGTCACCACCAATCCTCCCCATGCTGGTTTCCCTTTTACCTTGGATATGCTCCTCGGGCAGCTGGGGCTATTCTCCCTTTGCAAGTCTGGTCTGCTTCATCTTTTCCTGCTCCCCTCTTGATATTCCTTTCCTATTGGTGACCTATTCCTTGAAGTTAACTGCAGTCTCTTTATCTGCTTCTAGCTTAATGGCCCTCAGAAGTTACAGAGCCATCTGTAGCTTTTCTGGCTACTGCCAAGGAACCAATTGCTTAGACAGCTGCAGCTTTTAGCCAACAAAAGGTGGCAGTTCCAAGCCTGAGCATGATTGAACCTGGCAACTGCAGTACTAGGGGCTCTAAACCCTCCGTGGTGGCCCTTGCCAGCTGCAGATACTGTTGTTACATGCTTGCCCCTTCTCTAGGACATGGTTTTAATTTCCTGAGATACCTGTCACTTGCAGCAGAGACCCGCAATTCTCATACACTACTCAGCTAGCACATAGTTGTGCAGAAAATGCAGCCTAAATGATTTGGGAGGCTGGGGCATTGGCTCTGGAATGAGCTCACATGGCCACCTTCTGCTGTGGGTGACTCTGGGATCCCATGAAGGCAGTGGAGTTACCCCATGTATAACTAATTCCGCCCAAAGCCTGTTGAAGTGAGTGGGAGTCTTTTCATTGTCTTTAATAGGCTGTGAATAGATGCAAATGACTCTATTTGAGACTCTAGGAACATATTCTATGCTGCAATGGTTTATAGTTGTAACAGGAGGGTCTCTTGTTACCTGACAAATATTCAACCCTCCTGCAGCGCTTCATTTTTTTAAAGAGTCTTCCCATCCATTTATGAAGTGTGAAGCTGCTTAACTTAGAAGAGCTGAAAATATCAAGTAATATGGTTAATTAAGGAAGGCCCTTATGAATTCAGTAGGAATTTTGGATGTGCAGAGAACATGGGACTGGTTTCTGTATGTTTACAGAAGTGCAGAAAAGTGGAACGTTTTGGGTGATTGGAGGATATCTGGATCCAAAGACTGTCCCACATAATGAGGAAAAGTTGAGGTATCTTTGTTGTTCTTTTGTTCTATTCTTCGTTTCTTTCGCAAATTTGGCAGTACAAAGGTAATGGATGTTGAAAATAGCAAATTCAATCCTAGTTAGCGCTGGGATGATACCAGCATTTATTGACCAATTTTATCCTATTTTTTCTACAGCAAATTACAATGGATCAGTATTTGATTTGGGAAAAATAATGTAACAGCAGCCCAGACTGAACTTGAGTACTACTTGATTTTGAGGTGTTCAAATCTGGAAGGCAGGTGCTAGATTCCCTTTATAAATATCAGCTATATCTGGAAAGAAAAAGCCAATTTTGGCTTCTATGGCTCAAAAGTGGAAATTGAGTCAAATCCTTCTTCATTCCTGTTGTTGTATTTTAAGTTGCTCAGACTCTCTTGTACAGGCATGTCAATCTTGAATCCTACTGAGGGCCGCACAAACAAAAGCTGATAGCTTTCAGGGCCACCAAAGAAAATGTACTTTATCAGAAAGTCGTAATTGTTTATTATTACAGATTATGTTTTAAATATATTTTATAATGTTTTTCAGGTCTTGTTTTCATATAATACAATAATTTGATATGTAAAATTATTATTTGCTCATAAAATAATTTTTAATTTAAATATAAATTTAAGGTACTTTTTAATTTTTTGTATGATACATAACTTGTTTTGTTGAAATACAAACAAGTATAGACCATGGTTAATGAAATAGAACAGGCTTCTGTGAAAATTTCAGATACTTTGTAAGTTTGAGATTTTGCAAAAACATATAATTATTCATGCAATTGCAAAAAATTGACATTTATCGATATAAAATGAATATACATTTTGTGATTTTATTTAGGAATAAATAAATAAAACAAAAAATTAACAAACTAACCCCCTCCTTTCCCCAGAGCCAGGCACTCCCACCCCA